TACTTCTTAAAAATCCTCTCCCATGTTTACTAAAGCTGCCTTCTAAATGCTAAAAAACGAACCTGTCAGACTTCAGATTAGCAGCAATTCYTGGTCATGTGACTGTTTAAACATGAGTCTGTGCTAGTAACTAAGGACTTCCCTGATGCCCCARAATGTAGGTATAAACATTGAGGAGGAAAATTGGGCCACAGACACATAGGGAGCTGTGAACTTGTGCTCTCCATCAGCACTTGTGCTCGGAGCGGGTTTCTCACCCTCATCAATCAAAGCGCATGTTATTTGGGAAACAAAATACAAACCTATCCAAGTAAAAACAAAAAAAAATCACAGACTATTTGCAATATTGCCACAATGGTTTCCATATCCAAATAATTTTTAAAAAATCTTGAACATTCATTTGTTATTTTTGTTTTGCTCATTTTTCTTGCTTGTTTTCATGTGCGAGCATTTCCATTCAAGGAGTTATTGGATGAGTGGAAACAGAAATACTTGTGCAAACGCCTTCTGATACTTTGCACCATTCAGTCCTGCACAAGTTTTTTTCTGTGAACTAACTGCTTCTTAGGGCACTTCAGGTTGACCATCCTGCCCAAGCCAACATACCCTCGCTCTGACCTGACGRGAACAGCTCTGTGCAGGAAAAGAGCAATTCAGCTTTCAAGCTGTTTGCATCTTCRCTCATACGGCTCATAGCACTGAAAACAACAGCATTTGTGATTTAGAAAGTTGTCTACTAGGGATCAGCCAACAGAGGCTATTACAAATAGATGATGGTATCACTGTCCATTTTCTCTGGGTTTGAACTACAGATGGGAAGAGAGAGGCTGTTTAGCAGGCAAACAGACCCTCTCTGCTCTGCAAGCCAGGCTCTTGCAGCAGGGACCAGGATGAGGTCTGCCTGTAGGGTGACTCTCCAAGAAGGAGGGCCTCATGCATCCTATATATATTTGGGCTTAAGGTTGCTACACTGATTTCAAAGATAAATATCATTTAGGTTTGATCTTWATTTATTTATTTGGATAATACCGCACAGGGCTTCATGAATCCTGGGCACATGTGGAGAGCTGATTGCAAAAGTTAATTGTCCATACTCAGATTCTGAGAAAAGAATGACTCTGCTAAAGCTCACAGAAAAAGATCATTCAGTTAAGGCTCCAGATTTGTCCTATTCATTGGTTGGTGGTTGGTCACATGAGCTACTTATTTAAGGCTTGAATAAGAATTTCACAGAGATGCTCACCTTTCTGTAACTGGGACTCCCAGTCATCAAAATATGTCAACATCCTGTAGACTTGGCAAATTCTTGGAAAAGATCCTTTGGCACACACCGCTGCACAGCAGCCATTTGTCTAGCTAWTTTCTTTTATATTCCCTAAAAATAATTCACATGTACATCAAGTGCCCTCTGTCCTGTGACAGATTTAGAAACAAGACCAGACCCTATTCTCTTTCCAAAGCTACCTCAGTGCTGGAAAGTCATAAAAAAAATCAAACTCAGAGTTATCCTTGGGTTTAGTTTTATGACAAAGTTTTGCCAAAACATACTTGCATGCTATTTAGTCTGGGGAAAAAAATGACAATTTTGAAGCTGAAATTTTTCAGAACTGATGCCTCATTTTTATATATCACTTCAGCCAGATGTAAAAACAAATAAAAAAAAAACATAACATAACATAACATAACATAACATAACATAACATAAAACAAAATAAAATAAAATAAAATAAAATAAAATAAAATAAAATAAAATAAAATAAAATAAAATAAAATAAAATAAAATAAAATAAAATAAAATAAAATNAAAATAAAATAAAATAAAATAAAATAAAATAAAATAAAATAAAATAAAATAAAATAAAATAAAATAAAATAAAATAAAATGTATTTAACCCCCATGGAAGTCACTTGAAAACAGACGGATTCCAATTGTCTTGGATAGTTAAATCCTCTGGACATCAAAGATGCTGGACTAGTCACTGGACCTTACATTTTACTTAAGGTTCAAAAAAGAAACAGTCTTATGAGTGATTTGTTCTTCTGACTGGAACAATTTAACCAGTATTATTCTATTGTCAACAAGATTTGAGTTATGAGTGTAAACATTATTTTCCTCACACCTCTCCCATAGGAAAATCTCAGATAAAACTATGATTCTAATCTCTCTAGTGAGGATGCTTAACCTGTCTGCTGGGGGATTTCATGTTTTTTTATCACAGCTGGTATAAGCTGGCCTCAGTTTCCGACTTCAAGTGCACCTCTTAGTGTGTCTTAGTGTTTGAGGGATTCATAAAGCACTATTTACCACTCAAATTTCCCATATTTGCTCATTTTCTGGATGTGACGGGGGCACCATCACACGTGAAACCTCCAGTCCAGGACATTGGTTTGCTTTGCATCTCTGCCAGCTCTGCAGAAATTCAGCAATTACATCCGGAATCAAAACTGAAATGCAGTTAGAAGTAAAATGCAATGTAAAGGGCTAACGGAAATGCTTCTGTCTGCTTGTAGATTACTTGGTCAAAAATAATTTGTAGATGTCTGGCTGGTTCCTAACCTTTCCTAAAAGGAAAACTCAATAAGCTGTGTTCCTTTTAGATGTTTGTTGCCGAGTTGAAATCGAATGGGAAGATGCAGGACAGGAGGCTGCCTGCCAGAAGGCAGGGATTTCATCCCACTCCTACGCACAACACTATAAATCATATTCTGCCACCAGATCATTATTTTTCTTCTGTTTCTTATAAACACAGCAGCAGCATCAAATGAAATACGAGCTTTCCAAGGCTGTTGGATTTCCTTGTACGTACTGTAGAAGGCAACATTTGCAGACATATGGCATGCAGGCTACACTCAGAGAATCATTTTGAAAACTGAACTTGGACATTTTTCAGTCCAATAATGTGTAGGTGGTCTGGGTTACTAACCCTAAATCACTTGAGCAGTAACTGTTTTTCCTGGTCCTACACATCAGTCTACATGACATTAGGTTTAAGGCTTTTTATTAAATAGAAACTTCAGATATAACCCTTCAGAATGAACTGTGAAAGATTATCTTTTGGATGCATGGCTTTTTTATTAATATTGCTCATTCCTTTACAGCACCCGAGAGTATGTGGGTCAAGAATACACCACGCACAGTGGGCTAGTAAATAGGCCCAGGACCAGCTTCAAGCAATCTGGATCTCATCCCAGTCCCTCCACCAACTCATCTTTCTCCCTGCTGTTTCCTCTCCCTTTGTTGCAGAGGCATTATTAGGATAATACCACAAAATTTATCAGGACTTCAGCTGCTATGGTAAATGGGGTCACGGAAACACCTAAAGTTTTGTTAGTTCTGCATTTTTGACTTACATTTACCTTCCCGTTTACATAAATGTATATATGTGTATATATGTAGATGTAGGCATATATACACATCTACATGCATATGCATTAAAGATGCATACACCTCCTATATATTTCTTAACGAATTGTTTGGGGAGAGTTAGCTATCAGGTTGCAGTCTTCCTTTATCGAGACTGGCATTTATAGGCCTTTTTGGAAAGGATGCAGTTCAGGGAAGGCCATGTAAGGCAGCATGAAGGAACAGCAATCATTTTCTGCTATGAGCAATCACACGGACAAAAGGTTTAAGACTTCTGAAGTCCTCACATCAGAGGGTGATGAAGAAAGGAGCTTATGGCGCTTGGGTGAGGCATGTGAGTAAGGTCAGAAAGCTCTAAGACAAGACAACAAGGTAGAAAGAGACCCATCATATGGGACGCTGGGTACAAGGATGGCAACAACCCCTCCTGGGGCTTTCTCTCAATCCATGTCCAGGAGTCATTAGAAGAGAGCCAGACTGTTTAAAGCCAAATTGTGCCATGGATTGTGCTGATGGCTTAACAGCTCAAAAGGTCACGTTCTAGTTCCTAGAAATGTCCCCTGGCACTATTTAATTTGCTAGTATGAATATAGCCCTTCACCTTGCGCTAGGTACAACAAGAMACTCACAAACACAAACCCAGGGGGAGTTTACCTAAAGCCAATGTCCCTGTCTATAATTTCCTGCTGCAGCAGCATGACAGATTACAGTCTGAGGCCATCTTTTGTGCTGAGCGAGCATCTAGTTTAATCACACTGTGTACCCTTTAACATGATTGCATTCATATTTATTGCTGTACTGACATAGGAGGTTTAGATACTTTGCTGATGGATGCTTTGGAAAACTTCATGCATTAGCTCAGTTAGAAAATCCGATTTCCCATTTCTAAGTGAACAGAGAGGTGCTTCAGACACTGATACAAGTGCCTTATAACCCAGCTCTAGTATACCATTAAGGAAATTGTCTTGAGTGCAGATACTGCCAAATTGATAGTCTCTGCTTCATCTGCCAATAGTGCAGGTGCAGATGCTATTAACAAAACCATCTCAGACTTTCTAAAAACTACTAAGCAATTTGCTCGAACACTTAGCTGCAACAAGGAGTTCCCTGAGTTAATTATACACTATGCCAGTAGGGATGAAATCTTAAAATTAGAATTAATAAAGCACAAGAAAGTTAACTCTAGAAAGGAATACCTCAGAGAAGGATCCTACATTGACAAGAAGGCTGAGTAGGTGACCTAATATTAAAAAGTAACCATCTTCTCTAATAAGACTTTACCATGTGTGCTCAAATCCCAAGCACACTTCATTCAATTCTGAGTTTTTTTTTGCATTATTTCTTTCTTTGGATATAATATTCCTCACTTTTGTTTCTTCAGTCTTATTACAACTGATGAGCCTGATGTGCGCATCAGTCAATTCAATTAGCCCTTACTGTCTGTGCTTGAGTCTTCATAGTAAAATAGCTTTAAAAATACTCTGGAGGAAGCCTGAATCCTTAATAGTTATTTGTGCCTCTGTTCTAAATCCACCTCAGCTTTTATTCATGTACACAGAACTATAAGTATTTAATACTAAAAAAGTAAAGGGGAAAGGCAGAAGCAAATGGCTCAATAGGTCTTTTCCATAGCTGAACTCTAAGATTTTAAGTGATGCTTAAAATTCAGCCAGAGCTGTGTCTGCTTCTGTATTTTCTTGCTCTCATTTAGTCCTTGATCTTGAATTGGAAGCATGCATTATTTATCCACATCTGTCATTCATAAATCTGTTTGTTATGACAGGGATTAGACACTTCTCCCATACAAATCCCATTATTCCATAGGATTTATAGGCACACCACCATTCTACTTTGAAAATGCCATTTTCTGTCCTTTATCAACATTGGGCAGTTGCTACCATTGACATAAGCACATGAAAAAATCCACATCCCAATGGCCCTTCTCCAAACAGCTTTATTCAGTCACATTGCCATGTACCAGCCTCACCAGCCACTTGCTGGTACAAGGCCATGCACACTTCTGGAAATGACCTAAGGATCCTTTCATCCTCTTACACACACTGTGAGGGAAATTAGGTCCTCAAATGAAAGTTGACAGACAACAGAAGATCTGGTACATTGGCCTAACCTGTGTTGGGCTGGATAAACACTGGCATTAAGTGTCAGGCAAAAAAGGTCCACAAATTGCATGGGAATTAAACATCAAGGTAAAAAATACTAGGAGAGTGATGTTGTAGTAGGACTAAACAGATGTCAGAGAAATAACAGTGGAAGATCAAAACCATGACAGTCTTAGATGTTCTCCTTAGAAACTGAGTTAACAGATCATCCTCACAGGCAGTGAAAGCCTTCAGACAGCTCGTGCCAGCTTTTTTCACTTGATAGGAAATTTACAGTACATCATTTTTCAAAGACAGATGTTTCTTTGAAAGGTAAGCATCAAAGCAACTATTTTTTGAGTTGCAAATTGTCTATGTGAGCGTAGCAGTACAGATTTGAGATGTTTTTACTGTCATGTTGCTCCTTGGCTGAGCAGGATGGCAGCCTATTGGAGAAACAGGCCAAGCTGAGGTGGCTTCCAACCTTCCTCTGCTCTTAATCACTTGGCAGAAGTGCTGGGAAATATGAATTTCGTGGGAACATGTTTGTCTTCCTGAGTTCCCCTGCACCTAGGATACTGCCACGAGTAACTGCCACCTTAAACTACAACCCCAAAGCAGGTCTGGTGATATTGTGAACATAGTTTCTCAGAGCAACTATTGCCTTGGTTGCACATCTGAGCTCACGGTTGTGCTTTACTCCAGCTATGAGCTAGCTCCAAGCAGCCAACACAGTTTTCCTCAGCACAGAAGCAGATGGCTCCCAGGACTGGAGTCATGCCGGGTGTGAGTCACTTGATTTCACGGAGGTAGGACTACAGACATGCTCATCCCAGGAGCCTGGACCTCGACTGCTCATCTGCATTACCATATGCTCTGCTGTATCCGTAAGCTGTAAATGAAAAGACAAATACGCTGCTTAGAGAAGCCTGCTCTGTGTGGTGTTGTTTAGCTTAAGGTTTAGGTGCATGAGCCTCACTGAAGAAGGCAATCCCTGCCCATCTGCTCAGACAGAGCCAGGGCTCTAGCAGCACAGGGGCTGCAGGGCAGAAGGAGATGCATGTCATGTATGTCGCGTTTCTGTTGTTATTTAGCTGTCATAAAAAGTGTTTAGAGAAACATTCTTTAAGCTGATCATTTTCTCTTCTGAATCTCCATGTTTATTTAAAGTCATGTCTTTAAATTAGGTATCCCTGGATTTATACCTTAAATTCAGCAAGAAATATTCAGAGATCTCAGAGGAGTCTTGGACCTTGTTAACACCAACGGCAAAAYTCCTACTGCCATGGAGGAGCCCAGGACATCACCTTCACACTTCTATATTTCAGCACATGTAGAGCTATGGTATTTTAAAAACAAAATAACCGCAGCTCTTTTTAAATGTCTGCATCTCTGAGACRGCATTTAGTTATCTAAAGCTCTTCTTTCTTGCAAAGGGGAGGCAATTAGCAGCATGACTAGTACACATGCAGTCACGCACATATCTACCACTAAGCATCAAGCTGTGACAACCCAAGCAATGGGGCACCAGAAGAGAAATAGGAAGGCACTATATTTGTTCTAGAAGACAAAACAAAAACAACAAAAACAAACAATAACAAAAAAAAAACCTCCTAAAAGACAGCAGGAAAAAAAAGACTGAAAATTACAGACAGCTGCTAAAATTGCAGCACCTGCCAGATTTTGACCTCTAGAACAGTGATATTAAGAGTTCTATAGGCATAAACTATACCTTCATTAAACCAATTAGCATAATCAGTAAAAAGGAGGCAGATTGGTTTCATGCACATCTGGGCTGTGAACTTCTACAGGTTTTATTCTTCATGGACTCTACAAGCTACTAGGTTTTGAAATTCATGCTCATTCCTATCCAACTCCTGCCCCTTCTAGCTGTTAGAAAGTATGGCCTATCTTAGGCTTGTGTAAACTTCCAGATCATACTTTGAAATGCACTTCTGTAATCCCATTGCTCTTATAACTGTATGGAATGAAGTATTGATTGGAAACTTGTCAGATATTCTCTCCATGAGGCCAAAGGAAAAGCAAAATCCTGCTCCCCTCTCCCTGAAGTGCTCTTCTGCATGGCTAGCAGAAATAAAACACTAGTTATGTTACTAGCAGCAGCATATTTTACTCTGAATGCTTGCAGGAAACAGACCTCTGGAGTAAACCAGTGCCAATATCTATAATAATTTCTTCAGAGAGGAGAGAAGTTTTAACATTACAAAAAATATTGGGTATGTGCTTGCAAGAGCTATTAATCTTACATCTGCTCCTCAAGTTTCTCTTAAGCTTCACTTATGCATAAGCACGCTCATGCTCATGGAGAAAACCTATCCACATGAGTCCAATAGCCCAAGGAAGCAGAGATATGTTTTTCTTCTCTTTAATTCTGTACTTCCACTAACGCAATTCTACTTACCCTATGGCTTCAAAAACTCAATCTAATAAAGAGACTAAAAATCTTTTTGCAAACAGCACTGTAATTCCTATCATCTCAAAATATATCTCAAACACATCCTAAAGCTTTCCAGCATAGATGAACGGTCTTCATATTAAAGGGCTTTGGTTCATTAAAGACAGAAAATAGATGTTTTTTATTGCCATCCAATTCTACTTCACTGGCTGCATAGTATTCTTTCACCTATCAGAAAAACGCAGTAGGCATTAAAACAATAAACAAATAAGCCTCATTCTCTTTTCATTTACTTTAATTTCATACCAGTTTAGCTTCAGYTAACCAGTTTTTCAGTTAATACAAATAGGATTCTATCAAAACCAGTCTCCAGAGTGATTTCATCAGTTCAGGCTTTAGTCAATTTATCTCAGCAGAACTGCTGTTTATTTACCCCAGTGCAAATAAGGGAACATTCAGGTTCCATTTTGTTTTAATTTCCTTATGAAAAATTTACTAAATACATATATAGGAAAGCATCAGAGAGGGAGGAAGGGAAGAATACAGAACATTACAGGACTTCATAAGCAGGAAGATAAACACTCCTTATTAAGCTCAGCAATTAGCTCTAAAAACATTCTCAGCACTGCACCATGGTTATCACTAACTTTCTGGGTTCACTTGCTCCAGTGACCCAGATAGTTTGGATCTTAGTTGGCTTCATTACGGCAAAGCAGAAAAAAATAAATTCAATTAAATGTGCCAACAGAGAGCAGCTCCATCACTGAAATACCTCATCGTAGGCTCTACAAGCTTTCCAGTAGAGACTTGCCCACTCACTAGCCTTCTTGCTTGTTCCACACAGCTCTGCAGGGCAGAGATAATTTCCCCTGCCTCGGTCTGCCTTTGATTCTGAAAGGGAGAGGCCTGGATTAAGGAAACACCCCAGCTGAGCAGCTGTTATTTGTGAATCTATCCCTCAGGCTAATCATGCAGCTCAAGACCTAATAAAGCAGTGAAACAGGAGCCTTGATGCTGGCAAGGCTTTTTTTTGGCACAAATTGCAGCTCATCCTAAACAAAAAGGTAGAGCAGCTAAATTAAAAAAAAAAAAAATAAAAAAAAAAATAAAAAAGGGGGGGGAATTTTTAAGCGGCAAGACATTGTTCAAAATAAACCTGATTTTGAACCTCTTAGCCCAGCTTTGATCAAAAAAGAGAAGCAGTATAGCCCTTGATGGCCTGAAAATTCAGGTGCTTTGGTATATAGCCAGGAGAGATATTTTTCTGATTAGGTTTGAAGTAAACCCAACAAGTCATTTCTAAAACAGCATCAATATCCTGCAAAGCATGGGTTCAAAAGTAGTTCTTATTTGAAAGGTTTGCTCCCTGTGTTCATAAACCCAGCAACCTTCATGTGGAGTATCTATACCTAGCAGTACAATGGGGGAAAAAATATTGTAAATGGAGCACATTTGATCTTGTATTATCAAGAGACAATCAGAAGGCAACACCAGAATTATTAACATCATCTTTCCAAAAAAGGTTTTTTGAGCTTCACATGAGACAGCCACAAATTCATCTTATCTTCCTCTGACGTTTTTCTAGCAGTAGTAAGTCAGRACGGGTGCAAATTACTGACTTTTTGAGTTTGGGAACCAGCCTCGGAGGCCCAATTAGATAATATGAAGCATTTATAGATCTTCTTGACTAAATGGGAAAAAAAAAAAAAAAAGTAAAAAAAAAAGGAAGAAGAGAAAAACAGTGTATTTCTATTTTGGTCTCTTTAAAGAAAATGAAGTAAATGGAAATAAGATTTTCAGAATATGTCACAACTGGGGACTACTGTTTTTTCCTCGATGGTTACAGAGTCCAGCCAGGAGGCGGAAGGTTGGGGTTCAGTTCTTGCTTTTTACCGAGAGGTCTGAACCTACAGAAAGAAATTCCAGCCATTGCACAAGGGAATAATCTGCTGGGAAATGCTTTCATGCTTTTTTTCTGTTGATGATGTTCGACTGTATATAGGATGTTGAAATATTCATTAAGCCAGAAAGAGCAGCTCTATATCACTGTATTTAGGCTATGCAGCAGAGAGGGAGGGCTTTGCTCTAATGAAAATTTAAATATTGTATACAAAGTAGAACATCCTCTATTGGAGATTTTGAAAAAAAATAGTAAGTTTTCCTATCTCTTCCTCTCCTACTGGGAGAAAGATAAAAGTCCGATGACCCGGGGGGCGCTTCCTGGGCAATTAGGGTGGGCTCAGGTCTCCTTAGGCAGATGAAGAAACTGAAGCCCCATTTCCTGCATTTTCAATGAGACCCTTGGCAAATGAGCTACTGAAAGAAAGGAGACAGGTGACTTTTAAATCAAACAGTCCATCATTACCTCTCTCTTCCTCTTGTCTCCCCCTCCTCCCTCAAAAATGACAAATAGAACCTGACCTGTGAATTAGTTTTGACTCCACTGAAATGTCATTTTCAGAGAGGAGAATTCACAACCAAAACTTACTCAAACCTAAGCACAGTTGGTGGTTTTTTATACGTTTTATACAGTTTTGGGGTCAGGTCTAACATGCTGCAAATCATGTTTCTACTTCATTCCACAGTTTCTCAAACCTGGATAGTTTCTCACCCGTTCTCTGACTATGCACTGCAGATAAGGTCTGTAAACAACAGTACAAGAAAGAGCACAGAAAGGGTCTCTACTAGGTGAGCATTCACATTTAGGGATAGAAAGCCCTGATTTAGTGGAGAAGTAGATGGATGGATTGGAGGTAAGGAAAACAATGCACCAACTTTTGTGAAAAAAAAAAGTACCAAAATTCATTTTAGTTTGAGAAAAAAATATTTTAGAATTAAAAAAGATTTTTAGAAATTTTTAGAAAAAAGATATTTTAGAATTGACATTCACAGGAGAAAGAAAG